CCAAGCCTGCAACGTGTTCATGGGAGGTCCATCCTTGCTCACCGTTACACAGACCTCATCTCCCATGTTGAGGCAGCCAGTGATCTCTCTCTTGCTCTCAGATCTGATAAGCCAAATAGCTGTGTCCACAGAAACCACAGTTTGTGGTTATTTGATCTATGAGCTGAGTCTGTCCAGGTAAGTGGCAGGATCTGAGATGAGCTTTCACGCTGGTGGCTTTGGTGCCTGTGGTCCATCACAGCTGGTGGGCAGGAGAAGAGCACCTGCAGCTTCAGCTCCAGTCCTGCATCCGCAGCTGCAGCTCCAGACCTTCATCCACACCTCCTGGGATGGGGGTGAGATGTGAGGACTCTCACCAAAGACTGCTGGTGCCATGCAGGCAGGGGAGAGAAGCATGGGAAAGGTGTGGGAGGTAGCTGCTGCTGGAGATAGTAGCGTCCCCAGCACCCCCAGGCAGGGCAGCTCTGGGAAGGCAAGCTGGATCCGAGCTGCCCATAGATCTCAGTCTATCCCTGGGAGGTTGTGTGTGACACAAGTAAGGCATGTTCCCAAACTACAAGTCTCTGAATGCAAGTTTTCAGCCTAGAAATGGTCTCAAATGAGTCTGGTAGGAATAAGCACAATGTGTGCACAGGTGAATCACTGTGTTAAGCTGCTGCTGGGGACCTGTGCTCCCACAGAGGTAGCTCCTCTCTCTAATATTAGAGGTCCCAAATCTTGTCGGTATATTGACTTATTCATTAGTAGTTTGTATGTATGAATAATTCACTATCTACATACTATATCTCTACTTTAAATGCATTACAAAGCATATATTAGACAGAGATTGACCTGTACTGTGGTTAACATTAAGATTTATTGTTCCAGGAAGCTCCAGATATATTGACTTGAATCAAAGCCTGGAGGTTCAATTAAAGTTGATACTGTATTAACAAAAGGCCACAAGTCACATTTCTTCTTCACTCTGCTTTGTGAAGGATTTTAGTTCTTTTTTTTTTTTTCTTTTTTTTTTTTTCCAATGAGGTTGGATTGTAACTGTAATCATAAGCAGTTTGCCTAGCTCAGCCTAGCCTTCCTGGTTTATTTAGCTGCCTCTGGGATCCTCGCTAAATCATTATTAATGGGATGCCTTGCTCTAGCCTGAAAATAATATTTGTGTTTTCATCTGCTCTAAAAAATATTTTTTTTTCTAAATCCATTATTTCAGTGTAACGTAGCAGTTTCTCTGCCTTTCTCCTTTTAACCCAAGAGCAGGCCTCATATAAAAAAGAAAAAAACTTATTCCAGTGTGTTAAAATGGAATGGGATTGCTAACAATAAGGCAAGAGTGGGGACAAAGCACTTTGAATTTGCCTCCTCTTCTGTCCTTCAGTGCTGAAATTAAATGAGGAAAGAGGATTTTGCAGACAGGCTGGGGGAGTACGACCTCCTTTCTAGCTGCCGCATCTGATAATGTTCCCATTTCTCTAGTGATCATTAGTGTGACCTTCTTATTCGTTTTCTTTTTCTTAAGAAAAATAAAAATAAAAAATGCTCTGGTATCTTTGCACTCTCACCATGTGCTGCACATTTCATTGCTAAGCAACAATCAGCAGTGCACAGCCCGGGCACCACGTACCCATTTCTCACTTCCATCCCTAAAATGCAGCATCTTTCCCTTGGTGTGGCTGAAGTTGATGCTCCGAGGACCTGCTCCTGAAGCAGAAGAGCTCACACATACAGCGTGTCAGCTCTGTGATGGTGCACTCCTGAGGAAGCAGTCCTTAGCCAGGCACAGGCACACACACACACACACACTGCCACCCACACACTGTTGTGGAGGGCATGAGAAGGGCCAGAGCCATGCCCAAAGAACCACAACAATCCTGAGCTAAGGATGAGGACTGTTGTGAAAAGGGTAGTTATTAAAACCAGGGAATAGAGGAAAGTAAAGGCTGTTCCATTTCTTTTGGTCCAAAGTCCTCTTAAATAAACTCACTTGGAGTGCACTAGTGCTGTACTTCCAGTAGCACACAGCTGAAATAAGGGAAACCAAGGCCTGTTCAATGGGAAATGGACTGAGCAGGGTCTTTAAATCACGGCTGTTAACAGGAAGGTTATTAAGAAATTTACATTTGCTAAGGAAAGCAGCTTTTTTCTCAGTACACAAATATAGATATTTTCAGAAGAGGATTAAGTCCTAACCACAAAACACACAAAATCTGGGGTAACAAATAGTGTTTTAATGACAAATAAATGTTTTTGTCTTGAAGAATCCACTGAAAAAGCCCCCATATATAGGTCACTCAATGCCTTAAACCTTCCCAGCTTTAGTCTTGGTGAAACAGTACTTCTGATTTGGATTCTGAATTCTTAGATTTATTACAACACAGAGAGGTCACAGAAAAAAAAATCAAACTGGCTATCCACAGACAATGCCACAGCCTCAGACTCTGCCACCTGATTTCCATCAGAGACCACCGTAAAGGGGGGATGAGTGAAGTGCAGGAGACCAAAGTCAAGGAAATGTGGTACAAAGCAAATGTCTCTTCAGCCACTCTAGTGGCTTCTTACACTGCTCTCAGCCCAAAGATATGCTGTTAACAATATCGTGCAGGTAAAAGGCAACCAGAAGTTGTTACTAGCTGATACAAATGGGTGATTTGCTATAAGCAGTAGTTAGCTATCCCCATGAGGTCACTCACGGTTACACTTAGCTAGAGTGCCCGAACCTATTAATAAATCTTGCTCAAAGTTCAGGTCCTGGTCTCTCAGCATTTGCTTATGACTCTCAGTGGGAAGTGGTGTTAGATTCTTTGTATGGGACCACAGGGAAAAATTCAGCTTCTTGCCCAATGTAAAGTAAGCGGGAGAAATTCCAGTACCTGCAGGACAGATTCTTGATAATGAAGGGTGTCTGATATATTGTTTGCTGTAATGGATGGCTCCAAGCAAAGTTTTCTCAGACTGCTTTTAAGGATCTGGTTTAATTGCTTCATCTTGCACTCAGCTTGTGGTATATGTGGCATTCCCCTGATTGTAAAGAACTAGGAGCAGATAACTACAAACCACAGGCCATTATCTATAGTTTTTCTTCACGATGAAACTCCGCTGGGCAGATGGGGACTTTCAAGCCCATTCCTCCTCTTCTGGCCATGATGAGTCCTCAGGGAACATGCTCTCTCCCTGTCTCAGCTAGGGTTTATGGTATGCTATTGCTCTTGCTAACAACATCTACCTAACATGTTCTAAAAATCTGCCAGTGAGAAGGATAGGTCCCTTAGCACATGTGGAACTGGTGCACAACTCGTGCTAATGGAAGAGGCTGCACAGTAGCTGTCCCCATGCTCTCCTTCTCTTGAAAGATATGAACGTTTAATATTTGGCTCAGTCTTTAAAATACAGATTTCCATAACTTAACTGGATGTGCCAGTATTTTAGATCTCATCATAAATATTGCAGAAAGCATGACTTTTGATTGGCATGATACTGGATCTACAAGAACAGTGTATCTGGTTCTACTTCAAAGGCAAGAAAGTCTATCTTATAAATGACTATATTATTAGCAGAATTACAGTAATGTTTCTATTCCTTGTAATAATTTGGATTAACATTTTAGGGGAAAGCAGGTAGGTAAGTGGTAAAACCCTGATTAATTCCTTTAAGCACACTGGTGCAACAGCAATTTCAAGCCATCACCACAGTTCTGTGTGACTGAGGTACATTGTGAGGCTCCTCTGTGCCTGTTTTTAGCTGGAAATAACAAACTACTCCCATTTCAAACAAGACACAAGTATAACCTGAGGTATCTGTTACCTTTTGTGCAGGTAGCATGGACAAAAATCATTCTTTTACCAGGAGCAAATAGTTACAGCATGCAAACCTCCCTTTGACCAAGCCTTGGAGGCATGGAGGCTGTCTAACGAGAAACTGACATTGCTCCTCATTCCCATACAGAGCTCCTCTTGCTGACCCTGGCCTAGGGTCTGACATGCTGGGGTGGGCCTCAGGCCATGGCAGCTCACGCAGGGCATGTTGATTTTGTTAGAAGCAACCAAGGACATTAATATGCATTTGCCCATGGCCGGGTGCTCTTGCCATGGCATCATACGATTTCAGTTTAAAATGCAGTTGGTAGGGAGGTAGCTTGTTGACCTGTGAAGGCAAAATAATGTTTGTCTAGTGGGATGTGTCTAGCAGGTGTATTAACCTCTGGCAGTCCCTCTGCAGAAAGTGTGAGCCATAACCTCATGCTCTAAATGTGCTGCTGTGCTCTGTGATTCTTGTCTAAGAAGAGAATTCCAAGGGCAGAGATCGTAACGATGCCCCAGCTGTGCATGGGTCAAATCCACAGATGAAGAAACCCATGCGCTACCTTCAGATCTGCCTGCAAACTAAAAGCTTAAAAAAAAACAATATTACAGGCTATTTTATTTTACTTTTTTACAGGCTCTGGAAAAATTGGGGTTGGAAGATCTCTGAACTAAAATTCTCTAATAACATTTTTTTGTCAGGCTTTTCAATACACATTTTTTTTGCAATTCTTCACTGAGACTTTGAAACAAGTAAGCTATTAGAGCCTTAACTTCTTTGTTTATAATGGAAATGCTCACTGACCCTTGACTATAGAGGTGCTCTTGCACTGTTGTAATAAACGCCAGGCATATCTAACATATGTGCAATCCAGGAATGCGCTGGCTCCTTGCCAGAACACTACTTTATGCCTGGTATCTAATCCTGCTGTGGCAAAAACAGTTGGGGATTTAGATATATTGTGAGCAGTTTCTCTGTTAAGCACCTATGTGTGTAACTAAAATGGTACTTCTCTTTACATTTTAATTGTTCCAAAGAGCTGAGAGTAATATGTTTACTTCTCTCTCTCTCTCTCTTTTTTTTTTTTTTTTGAATCTTTCTAAAGCATCTTTGTACTCTTCAGGTCTCCTTCAGAAATTAGCAGAAAGTCTTCTGCAATATGTTGCAGAGAATATGTGAGCTCTTGTCTTGTTTGAAATTTGTGGGAATTTTGTCACTGTCTTCCATAGCGCAAGACTTATCTGTGGGAATTTTCAGCCCCAGTTGATAAGCTTTTCAAATAACTGTAGCTTAGTACTTCTTTCCAGCTGTGGGAAACTGCATGTCAGTTAGGATGAGCCAGTCTAAATGGCTGGTGTCTCAGCATCCTCCTGGGTGCAGGCTGTGTTCTCCTACTGATCTCCTCATGCAGTAAAAGAAAAAAAAAATCCAAACAACCAAACCAAAAAAAAACCAACAACAAAAACAAACAAACAAGAACAAAAAACAAACAAACAAACAAAAAAACAAACACAAATAAGCTCACAAAAATACAAACAAGAGGTGAAACAACCCATCCTCCACCCCTTCCACCCTATCCACCCAGATTTCTGCTGGGTTAGTGAGCCGAAATGGGCTCCTTGAGGTGTCAAGGAGAGGCAGAGCCACGGAGGTAGGAGATGGAGGAAAAGCAAATGGGAGAGCAGAGAGACTCTCTGGGAGACATCTGGCAATTACAGCAGCTCCGTTGCCACATGAAACAGCACCTTTGGGTGTTTTCTACAAGCCAAGGCATTCTTGCATCTCTTCAGTGAGGAGCACCTGGATGTCCTTGTCTGTGTGTCCTTTTTATAGCCCTGAGCTTTCCCATGGAGATGCCCCATGGCCTCACCTCCTCCCTGCTCCTCTTGGGTCTCCTCTGAACTGGGATAGCCCCTCAGGGGTACACCAAGTCTTTGTCCTTGCTCTGAGATGAGTGGCAAAGCTGCGTACTGCCAGAAATGCACAGCCTGTGTAAAACAGATATCTGGGCAGAGATCAAGAGGAGGACAGTGCATTAAAAACCATCAAGGTTCAGCTGGCACTTCAAGAGGAGAGAGAGCCTAGATCTGGATGAATTTGGATGAATTTCAGCCCTTTTGCTGTCTATACCCTACTCACCTTCCTTCCCCTGCCATGTATATGGGTTATGCGTACCAGGGAGCAGGATGGAGTGATTCTGATTTTTAGAACTGCCTGCTGGCATTTGTGAATGTTTTACAAGTGCTGAAAATGTTTCCAGCTTGGCTGGGAATTTTCTGATGTGTTGATATTTGCAGTCCATTAAGATGAAGGGTTGGCAGTTGTCACCAGCATCTAGAGCTCTGTAGTTTCTTCAGCCTATCTGGAGCTTTGATCTACAACAGCACAAATGAAAAAGTGTTAAATCAACATATATAAATATACCTTCCCCCCAGAATTCATAACTGTCCTTATGACCTCAGCCTTGGACCTTCCCTGAAGTTTAATGACCAGTTGGGGTTAATGGCCCAAAGTTCCACCTCAGGCGATTAACACTCTCAGGCAGTCATTAATTCTCACAAAATGCTCAGGGTCTTTATTGCTGTTGCTTAAGTGATGCTCAAATGACTGTGAATATTTACACCCCTGCTGTGGATGCAAGAAATAGGACCTTGCACAGTATTTCAGACCTCTCACTGTTCAAAACGGTTTCAGTACCTGGTAGCAATCGCTTCCACAAGCAATTTAAGGAGAAACTTCAAGGTACTACACTGAGTAGTTATCTAAAACTGTGGTTTGTTGTATAGTTGTGCGTGTTGCTTTTAAAATAATGAATATAGAGGCAGATTCCCTGCCCTGAGGAGCTTACAGTCTAAAGACCTGATTAAAAAAATAAAAAAATTTAAAAATATGCTTAATTTTATATTTATTTAAAATATTTGAAGGTGGTAACAGGCATTTGCTTGCTGTTATACAGATACTTTAAAATTTAAGCTGATATTGCTTATAATTTTTTTTCCATCATAACTCTTTATGTTTAATGTTTTCAGTAAGATGAGATGCAGGACTGGGCTGCTCAAGCTCCCTGCCACAGTAAGCCCTTTTCCAAGAAGACATCATTGCAGGGGCCAACAGGTTACTTAAGCAGACAGTTTTTGAAAAGACAGTGCTGTTTAATACTTCTGTATTTAGGAAGGAACATTGGATTGGGACAGGCACTAAATCAGCTCTTAGTTCTTTTGAACAGAAGAGGTTTAACACCAGTGTTAGATCATTGTTAATGAACTGACCTGGCCCAGCTTAGAGAGGCTCGGAGATTCTCATGCCAACAACCTTCTCAATGGCTGTTTTGTGAACCTCACTGCTTTGGGGACTATAAACCTTCTTCATGCTATGGGGCATCTTCCCATTTCCATTACCCTATGAGGTTGTTTTATTCTTAGATGAAGACTGTACACTGCTTACTACAGGTGGGTTGGAAGATACTGACCATCCTCCTAACAACACATGAGAAGCTTCTCCTCCACAAGAAAGAGGTTATAACTGGCACCCATTTAGGTCAGGACCTTGATGCTGGTGCTATCCTGTATGTCCCCTCTTTTGTTTGTAGGGCTTTTGGTTTGACATTTTACTTTCACAATGTTGTATTCAGAGCCATGGTTACACATCATGTTTGGAAATGGCATCTGGGTGTGTTTCTGTATTCCTCTATTCTTTTCTTTTTGTTCTGGGATCTCTTTGCATTTTGTCATCTCTCCTTTTGCCTTTTATTTATTTATTTTAAAGTCATGGGTGACTACATTGCAATGAATAGATAGATATTCCAGAATGTATTCTTGCAGTAATGTTGTAGTTTTAAAGATTTTTTCTGTAATAAGTCCTGTTTCTTCTCCATTTTATTCTTTACAGATATCATTGGCAGTGTCATCAAGACTGGCACATGTTTTCGACACAGATCTCTTGATTCCGGTTTTGAATCTACTACAGATTCTTCCTTGTGACTCAGCCAAGTTACATAACCACTAAATATAAAAGGATAATAGCATTTTCCTAACTTTTAGGCCATTTAGACACTACAATCTATTAACATTTTTAACAGTTCAGATACCAAATGACCCTAGGATGTGCCTTCATGCTGGAAAGCTTGATTAATTTTTCCAGTTGACCTAATAAAAATATTACCTGAATGTGTAAACCCTTCCTGCCTGTGTCCTTAGACCTCCTTTACTACAGCAAAGTACCTGTAGTATAACTGAAATAGGTACTTACTAGAGGAAATATAGACACTTACACTAAGAAACAAGGAGCACCCAGAAAATGCACTCTATTTTTGTCTGAGACACAGGCCCTGTGAAATAGCATTTTGTGATGTTAATTTTCTGATAAAACACTCTTTGCCTAAATAGAGGCAGATATCAAGGTTATGAGCATTGTATAAACACTTAGAAAGGACAGAAAGAAATATAGAATTTTTAATGAATTAGCAAAATTTCTTTAACTAAAGTTTTAAAGAAAAAAAAATTAAAAAGTAATAGCAGTAGTAGTAATAATCCACCACCAGTGGGCAGAGATGAATGTTACGGAAAGGGCCTTCCTAGGAAGAAGGATCTTTTCTAGGAAGGGGCTCCCCTTGAACGTTTGAACCATGACTTTCCTAAGACAGAGTCTGCTGTAATAGAAAGGAAGGGCTCCTAACTGCAAGAAAATGCATAGGAAAAAGAAGGAAAACTGGGGAGATAGCTATACTACCATCACCTTCTTATGATACAAAGAAAAGAAAAATCAAGTGAGGATATCCAAAGATAAAGGAATATCAGATAGAAGGAAGTAGAGGAGGAAAAATGCCCCCAAATCCCAGTGACTGGATAGACAACGAATCAGTGCCAATATTGTACTTAACCTAGCTAGGAAACCAGGTGAAGTGAGGCAGTAATAAATGCAAAAAAGCAACCTGCACATGAAGATGGAAGAATTCAGCTTATTAGAGCATGACATGAATCAGGATATTAGAGATAGCAAAAAAATGATACAATACTAATTGCAATGGGAGTGCAGGTACTGCATGGTGTACTCTGTCAAAGAAATGGAGAAGGGATTCTTAAGATGTAGTAGCATTATGTATTAAGAGCATAGCTGGCCATCAAGAAATCTTAATTAGCAATATGGATATTAGAGGATTAGTCTGTGTCAAAATATGTTTGGAAAAAGTCCTGAAAGAGATTGTAGAAGGATAGGCATGGGGTTCTACAGTGACCTGAGATTACTTCAGTATCAGGAGAGAGATAAGCTACCAGGGTATTGTATCATTATGGGAGACTTTAAATTTCACAGTCAGAGACTGGAGAAGAGATGCTACAACTGCAGTAGAATCCAGTAATTTTGAAAGTAGAAGTTGAACCTCTGAGAGATTATAGTATTTTAAGTTGGTGATGGACAAGTAGTGAAAAATCTTATAGAAGAAACAGTAGAGAAAATAATATGCTATCAAGTGATGACAGTACTGACTATGTTTCACTTTAAATGAAATAGCAGTATATCCAAAGGCAAGCTGGTAGCTAAGGCTTTTAACTGTAAAAGGGCAGACTATATCATAGCAAAACAGTCTGAAGAGTAATGGCACTGAAATGGGGTAGAGTGCAGGTTTGTGATTCATATTGCCAGGCATAAGAACACTGGATCTTGCTGGACAAATAATTCTATTAAATAGGCTACTGAGATTTGCCAAAGATTCTTCAAAAATCAAAAAGGATTTGCTCAGGAAAAGAAACCAGAAGTTGGAAGATTGAAAGTAAGAGATCAGAATAGGAACTCTGAAAACTCAGGATAATTTAGTTCTTGTGAAATCAGAAGCAAGGCTTAAAGATCCTCTAGATATAGTGAATAAAGAACTAGGACAAATGTAAAATTGCTATTTAAAGCTATTTTAAGGATGCTCCCCCACAAAAATAATTAATACTTTGCATCTGCTTCTGAAGGTGAGTAGGTAGAACACAGATGCAATAACAGGATTGTTTATGGGAAATAGGTTTATGGAAAGGCCCCATTGAGTTTAGATCAGGACACATCAAGCTGGTATATCTAGCTGAAGGAAGACAAGTGTGGCAACTTCAGTTAAAAAAGGGTGCCAAGGAAGGGCAACCTAGCAACTATAGACCAGCCATTCTGAAATGCAAGATTTTAGGGAGAATGAAAGACAAGAAGAGAAATAACAGATGCCTTAAAATACAACACTGATTTACTAAGAGGACCAAGTTTCAGGTTACCTCAGTCATTGACTTATTTTGCTAAGGGAAGCACAGTAACACACTAACCTACCCGTTCTTCTATAAAATACTTCATGGAATTGATTCATATTCTGTGAGATGAAAATTAGCACAAGGAACCTTCTAAGCTTCCAAAGGGCAGGCACTGGCAAATTATGCCAAACAGGAAATTAGCACTCAAGAATAGTATTCCAAATGAAGTGCCTTAAATACTTTCATTAATGGCCAAGAAGTGGGTGTGCACTAATTAAATTAGTGCATTTCCACAGGTGGGAAGCATCCCAGTAGGGCTCTGGTTAACTTGCAGGTCTCAGTAAAACGGTGGGGTTGGCTGAACTAGGACAAATTCCAAGGTGATGTATTTAAAAACCAATAGCAAGAATGCTTGCTACCCATTGAAAATGGGAACAAAAAGGGAGGAAAAGAAAGGTGGATTTGTATTTGTCAGACAATGAATGTCTCTGAGCCATTGATAAGATTTGATGCATCTCAGGAGAAAAAAAAAAAAAAAAAGAGAGAGAGAGAAGAAGATTATAGGCAGTGACAAGAGAAGTAATTCCAGTAGGGAGAGGGAAGCACTGATGCACTGTAATATGTTACCTGGAACCACTATGCATGGTTTTTGTTGCCTACATTCAAGAAAGAAAAAAAAATCAAACAAAGAGGTGCAGAGAAGTGCTGCATCACTATATGACAGGAAAAGAGAGTTTATCATACAGGACTAAGGGGGGTTTGTTGGGTGTTGTTAGCCAAACAAAAACTAGACAGATAGGATTACTGCCTATAAATGCACTGAGGTGTTAAAACCAAGGAAGAGAAAGCAGTTTAGTTGAAAGGGCAATGCTGACACACACGGACAAAAGCCCAGGAATAAATATACTCTAGAAATTAAAAAGAGGCTACTATTTACTTACGCATTTTGCTATGGACAAAACCCTGTCTGCTTTTAAGATGGACCTTGATAAATGGTGAAGGGGATTATGCACATTACCAGAAATATCAGAGGACTGAATGAATATAGGACTCAAGAAGTCCTCCCAGCTTATCTGTGACTTTTTAAAATTTCTACAATAAGAAAATGCCATACTTGGAACATGGTCATTGGACCTAAAAAAAGTTACTAGCTCAGTTTAGCTGAGCTTAGTTTAAGCAACGATATTTTCAGACAAGAATAAGACTTGCTTGTATTGTTTTGGGGAAGTCACACACTGAAATTTCTCTGTAAAGGTTTGAAATCAGAAGAATTGCTCCTTCAGAAACTGCACTTTCTGGCTGCACGTCTCTCTGTGTGCAGATCGAGTGCAGAGCACTGTTTCCTAGCAACTACTAAGGACCACTGGCTTTATAAATCAATCTCTGCCAGAATATCACAGAAACCACGATAAATGGGAAACATTTAGTAGTCAGAAGGCTTTCTACTTCCTTCACTTTCTGGTCTGCACAGAAAACTCTTTTAAAGGAGTAGATAACATCAGCGTTTCTTCATAAGTGAACTGAATTTAAAACCTGGTTCAGGTAGCTTGTTTTTCAGCTCCCCTGGGGTACATGTCCACATGTCCATGAAAGGTCCCTCTTCAAGATGTCAGTTACCGGTTTTCTCAGAGACAAAATTATCTTAAACTTCATTTGAAAATAAAAGAAAAAAAAGGAAAAAATGCAGATAAAGAAAGAATGAATAATCCTGGATAAAACTCCAAAGAGCACCAGGAAGAGAGGGAGTGATAACAATCAGTCAAAGCCTGTGGATGTGATTCTACCCGTCTATGCAGTAAATTAGCTTCCAGTGTCATGTTCATTTATAAAATTTAAATAATCTGATTGACAGCAGCATTCTTTTTATTTTTTTTTTTTCACTTTTAAATATTTCTACTCATTTCTCTGTTCAACTATCGTCCCCACTCTACAAGCTTCCAGCATCTGCTGATGTAGCCAATGGGCTGAACCTGGATCTACCATGTTGTTAGTGCACTGGAAAATCCCATTTTCCTTTTGTGCAAAGCACAGGAGAACACTTCATTAGGGTTTTGTTTCAGAAATACACCAGAGGTTTTGTCACTCTAGTAACACTGGGTTTACAAAGTGAAAACTCCCAATATGTAAGGGGAGAAAAAGGCTCTCCTAGTGCATTTAAAAATAAAAATTATTGAAGAGCTCATTAAATAAACAATATGTTCATCTATATTGTTACTGCATATTTCAACAGCCTGATGGGACACACTAGCTTCCATCTTTGGGATTAGTACTAATTACTTAATTTCCAGCACAGAGTGGTGTCCATCATGAAATCACAGCACCAATCTGAGAACGCTCTGCATGTCATTTTGTCATCAACACTGTCAGGACAAGACTGGTGGGTGACTTAAGGGTGAGTTTGAAAAAGAGAGTACTCAGGATACTAAACTATGACTGATGGCAGCAGTTGACAGATCTGATGCTTAGATTGTAAGCTCTTTAAGGTGGGAAATTGCTTATATATCACAGAAAAGAAGCCATACACATTTGTGGTGCCATATAAATAGTAGTCAGTCATTCTGCTTCTGAGCTGGAAGTAAAATTAGGAAGGGCTAACATTTTCCTTTTCAAAATTTTCCTCTACTTTTAGAAACATTTTAGGAGATTATTTTTTTCATGAAACTAATTCTGTTTTGTTATAATTAGTAATGTATTGTTGTAGGCTCAGAAGTTATTTCCTCTTTTACTTGTACTGTTTATAACCAGCTGATTCATTCTATTCAGAGATGAGACTGTGTTACACTGGCATCTCAAATTATTCTTTGCCTTTTTTGTTGAGTCCTTTTGAAGAAGATGTGTTTATGGTCCCATTGTTCAATCAACAAAGTATGCAATTACAAATCTTTGGTCTTCTGATGTACTTAGCAAATCTTTTCAGTGTACAATTTACCACCTGTGGCTTTTCTTCATCTCTGAAAAATGCTATTATCTTAAATGGCCTATTTCTAATTGCAGTGTGTTTAATTGCTTGGATACACAAGGGTCTGTGTTGACTACTGTTGTTTTCTGGACATGTTCAGAAAAAAATGGGTATCTGTGTACAGATGTCTCTAGAAGGGGCAGGAATTTTACTGCACATTTCTCCTTAATGGCAACGGCTGTCAGCAGGTTTATGATAACATTCGTGGAATTATTGCCCTCCTGAGAAGAATTTCCATTCCAGACCATCTCTATGGGAGATCTCTATAAAGATGTTACCCTGCCATATCTCTTCTCCTTGGTACTCTGTTTGAAATGTGTGGTGTCACTGGAAAACTATCTTGAGCCAAGTGTGCTTCTGCTGGCTTCAGAAAACTGCTTGACAGTGGTATACGTGACTATATTTCTTTATTCTAAGAAGGAAAATAATAAAAAAAAATCATTCAAAAGAGAGAAGGGAGAAGGTCTTGTAAACAGAAAGCACCTGGAAGCATGTTCAGTTACTCTAAATGTATGGTGTCATTGTTATTTGTAGAGACATGGTACTAATTTGCAAACATTTGGAGAACTGTCAAATGTTTGTGTGAATATTTATGAGTCCTCTGTGTTTCACCGCTTTTAGCACAGGTGGTCATTTGACCAAAAAAATCCCTCTAGGAAATGTACTATTTGTTGTTCATCATTCATCTTCCTATTGTGCAAATAGTTTGCCATCCAGAGAACAAAATAAGTAGCCTGTGATACAGGACACAGAGCAACTCTTGCAATGGACAGCTGAATGAATAGCTTCAAGCAAGTCACGTGCAGAAAATTATTTCTCTCAGCAACTAAACAAATGTTTATCAACTGTAAGGCTTCCAGGGCAAACATTATCTTATTTATTTATTTGCTTATTTATTCATCCTCCACAACAATGGGATTGTAAACCTTGTAAAGGTCTGCAGGCATTAATATAATAAAAGTATACAATAATAGAAAATAATAAATGCCATTTAAGAAACCTCCATTGGATAGTAGAGATCTCAGAAATAGAAATAAAGATATATTAGAAACAAATTTCCTACAAGTAGATTTACCTTAAAATAAAGAATTACCAAATCCTTCTTGATTTACTGATAAGTACTCAAGCTAAAAAAAAGATTCTACTAAGACAGATTGTAAGATTTCACTCCATAGACTGGGAATTTATATTTTAACAAAACCAGAAGAGAGTCTAGAGAACTGTGAGCTATGTGAAATGAGCTCCAGGAAGTATTTTTAATGATCATGGAAAAGAGAAAATGTTTCAGAACACAGACTTAAAACCTTTGAAACGTATTTGTTTTTTATATTTTAATTCTATGTTTTGATTTTATTCCAACCTTTAATGTTCAGTGACTATAAAGTTAAAGAGAAGTAGAAGCCTATTTAGAAATATTTTTCTGGATAAATATATTATCACACCAAGAGGGAGCCTGCTGCATAATTTGAGCTTGCATTGTGACTACTCACGCACCATATGTTGATCACCGGAGATTACATACGCATGTATGTTACATCCTGCAGTAACAAATGTTAATAGTTAGCAATATTTAATGAATTAGGTTTATGAGCTGTCATAGTTCTATTAGGTTTATTCATGTCTTTGCAATATATATATATATATATAATTATTTTACTGTTTTCTAGTAAACTTCTGAGCCCTTGTTAGCAGAGGTTGATTTCAAGCTGAGGGGGAAATTTTGTAATCAGAGATGACTGGAGTAATAAATCAGGATTTTTATGAGTCTTCCAGAGAGCTAGAACCCCCAAACAAAGACATTTAAATATAATAACTTAAGAGATGATTGATTTCAATCCTGGCAAAACCCCACCCCTCCAAAGGAACCTGTGATGAAGCTAGTGTTGCCCTAATTCCATTCTGTGGAACTAATGTTCAGAGATCTTTCTTTCCTCTCTTTCAGATTTTTTTTTGGAAGACAGATAACACCCATGGTAGGGAATACTGTCGTCAAGGTCTTGAGGCCTCCTGGGTCTGGAAGATGTCTGGTTTTCATGTTTTCTCCATCCAACTGTGACGTGAAGTCCCAAGGGATTTTACTAAATCAGTTTCTGTAAATGTGCTGGGTTTATGCTCTTAATACTGCTGCCCCTGCAAAGACAAAGTTAGCTGCACAAGTGTCTTTCCTGGTTTGTATCCAAGACCATCAGTGAATAAAGCTCCTTACCAAATTGCTTCTTCAATGCTTCCCAGCCT